GAGATTTTATACAATCATTTTTAAGCGGCAGTTAAGGCGGTAGGCGACGGAGGAGACGAGGATGGGGATGCGGGCGGAGCGGGTGGCGGAGGAGAGGTGGACGAGGCCGGCGTGGAGAGGGTGGCGCCGGCGGTGGAGGTGAAGGGGGGATGAGGGGGATCTCGACGCGGCGGGAGATGGCTCCGTCGGGCGGCATGGAGATGTGAGAGAGAGAGAGATTTGGGGTTTTAATTTGGAGAGAGAGAGAGTGAGAGAGAGAGGGTTTGAACTGTTTGGGTGTTTTTAGACGGAGAGGGGAGAAAAAATAGCGAGGAAATGAAAAGAATAAGCGGGGAAATGAAAAAAGAGGGGCAGACTTGTTAATTTTTTAAGGCAACCTAGACGGAAATTCCGTCTAGGTTGATGCAACTTAAACAGAATTTCCGTCTAGGTTGAGTACATATTTAAAAAAAAATAAAAATCGTCTAGTTTGTCAATCTAGACAGAAATTTCCGTCTAGATTGATTCAAATTAGACGGAACAAACTAGACAAAATTTTTTCCGTCTAGTTTGCCTAAAACTAGACGAAAAAAAATTCCGTCTAGTTTGTTCTGTCTAGTTTGTTCATTTTTCTACTAGTGAAGACAAAATGAATCGATTTTGTAAAAAAAACTCAAGGGGATCTATTTTTAGAAAAAAATATGGATGAGTTTGTTTAGAAAATTTCTTCTATAGTAAAAGAGTATATATGAATTTTGGTTAATTTCACATATACCCAAGAACTTTGTTCATCTGATATAACCTTTCGAAACTTTAGGGTGCTTCAAAAAAATCCTCATCTTCGAACCTTTCTTACTGGACTCTCACATGTAATTTGTAAATAACTAACATTTCTTTGAGAGAACAAAATTTAAAATTTCTCTTAGTTTACTTGCAAATTACATGTAGGAGGTCTGATTCAGACAAGTTCAAAGTTTAGGGAGTTTCGTGAAAACACCCAGGAGTGTTATTTAAGATAAACAAAGTTTAGGGGATTATCTGCAATACCCCCCAAAGTCCAAGGAGTATTGTGAAATGAAAATTCTATGTTGTCTTCTGTCCAAAAAATTCCCCCAGTCTCCACAAGCTCAATTTTCCCGCTAAAAGGGGTAAAAATTCCCCAAATCCCCCAAACACCCCTAATCGTAATGGCGAAATCTCCGGCGACCTTCGCCGCCGGCGAAAAGGTAGAAGTGATCTGCCAAGACGAAGGATTCAAGGGTTCTCTCTACGAAGCTCGCATCGTTTCCATTCCCAAATCCGAGCTGTACTTGATCGAGTACGAAACCCTAATGGACGACACCGATCCCGAGAAGCATCTTCAAGAGACTGTCTCCTGTGTCCACGTCCGTCCTCGCCCGTGTCCTCCTGCTTTGTCGAGCTTTGAGATTGGTGAAAAGGTCGATGCTTTGTACAACGATGGGTGGTGGGTTGGGGAGATCTCGAAGGTTCTAGAAGGCGGGAAGAGGTACGGGGTTAGGTTTCCTGATAGTGAGGATGATGACATGGAGGAGCTGGAGTTTGGATTGGATCAGATTAGGGTTCACATGGATTGGATTGATGGGCAGTGGATTTCTCCGAATGTCACAGTGAAGGTGCTTATTTGGAATTTCAAAGTACATTTTTCAAAAATTTTCCAAAGATTATCCTCAGTTGCTTGTGGTTTAGGGTTTAGAATCCATTTCTATGATGGATTAATGGCTTTAAAAAAAACTTTTTGCCATAATAGACCATCCAATCTTTGTTAATTCTATATTGCACCCCCAAATCTTGAAATTTCAAACTAGGCCTTTTTCATCGTTCAAATTAGACCCCAAATCCATTAAGTCATTTTTAAATAACACCCAATATTTTTACTTTTCACCCGTAAAATCTATTAAGGTCTTTTAAATAAGACCAACATTTCTAGTAAATATGAAGATTTTGGTTTGGCTTTGAAATATGAAGATTTGAGGGTCTAATATAGAATCAACAAAGATTTGGGAGTCTAATATGCAAAAAACCTTACATCTTAGTTCTAACATGCATTTTTCTCTCCATATCTCTTCGTAGTTAGTATGAGGATGCGAAACATGCACATGGCTTCTGAGTTAATAGTTTAGAAGAGAGAATGCTAGAGATTGTCTACGTAGACTACATTGCAGTTTATTTTGGTAGCTTGGCTCCATTTAGATAACAATCAACATAACAAAAAATTATTTTCAGATATCTTAGTTGTTAGACAGAGAACAGTCTTTACTATGACATCTCATGCTGTACGGATTTCTAACTCTTGAGTCAATTTTTGTTTTTTGCTTTCAGATGTTATAAATAAAGTCCTATGTATTAGATACTGGATTTGCATAGGGTGGGAGTTCTCCGATTTTGGATTGCAGATATCGGATTTATGAGTGACTTTTGCTGATTTGATAGACAACATAAGGAAGATTAGTATAAAGTGCGTGATTTTGTTCACATTTTTCTTACGTGCAAATAAAATTTGCCCTCACAATTTTCATACATGCTTCCCAAGATATTGTGAAGTTATTTAGAAATGTTTGCTACTGAATAGTGAATACCTTCATTGTGTGTAAGAACTTCATTGTAAGATCTGTGCTTAATTTGTCAGTTGTTTACCTTTCTATGTGTTCAGAAATTTTTGGGAGTGGAGATCAGAAAAGGTGCTATGGTGGAGGTTAGAAGCGATGATGAAGGTCTTGATGGAGCCTGGTATACTGCATCCATTGTTGGGTCTAATGGGGAGAAATTCCTTGTGGAATACCAAAACTTGAGAACAGATAATGAAGCTGAGCTCTTGAGAGAAACAGTGGATTCTCTGCACGTCAGGCCCATTCCTCCTGAAACTCCAGTGGATCACAAGTTCAATATTCTTGAGGAAATTGACGCCTTCTATAATGATGGCTGGTGGGTAGGAGTGATTTGCAAGGTTCTTATGGGTCAAAGATACATGGTTTACTTTAAGCCTTGGAATGAAGAGATGGAATTTGCTCACAGCGATTTGAGATTGCATCACGAGTGGATTGATGGAAGGTGGCAGAGGGCTTCACAGGTATAAATTTCTTTGACAGTTTTGACGTTTTTGCTTAATATTGAAGGAAGAAAATATTTAAATCTGAAATTTTTAGTAGATTTCCTTATGCTAGAAAATGAAGGAAACACAACTTATGCGCAGTATCTCATATTAATCACATTTTCTATTAACTTCAAATCTTCGCAGGATGATATATATTGGTTGGTTAAGTGGCATATTCTGCTTCTGTAATAATTATAATACTGAAATGATGCAGCAACCATAATTCTTATAAGAGCTCGAATATTTAGTATCTGGCTGCCATTTGTGTCCTTGTGTGGATACCTTCAACCTGTTTTCCTTATTCTTATTATGACCTTGTTACTTCCCTATCTGAAATATGATAAATAGACCCCTGTCAAATTACTTTTTTTCCTAGCCTTCGCAGATAGCATACAGAACTAAGATCACATTTATACGGCTCATTTCAATCCCCTTTCCTACCTGAAACTTAACTACATATTCCATGGTGACTTTCCAAAATATCTATAAACAAGCTACTGATCTCTTTGAAAATTTATCAAAAAGTAAGTGTTTCTTGACTTTTAGCTAATTTTAAACTGATTACCAAATACCAAGCTTTGCTTAGAATTTCTCATCAGATATGAAATCTTGTAATCCTACTTTTAACTTTGTTAAGATAATAATAAGGAAAGAGCCTAATAAGTAAGATGAAGATTTGGGTTTTGACTTCTCACCTGATTTAAGTACTTTACATGCAAAATCTTCATAAATTGCTAAATTTAATTAATCAATTAAATAAAAAAAATAATGCAATGATGTGCATTTCGACCTAAAGACTTAGATTTATGTAGCACTAATAAACATAATCCTAACTATGCTAAAATTGCAACAAGAATTCTCCAATCCAGCTAAAGTAGAATTTATAAACGTGTAAGAATTAAAAATCAAATTGGATTACTTTAACAAACTGAAACTTGGATTCGGTTGATTTATTGCTGACTCCATTTTTATATGGAACTTAATAAGCTGTTTTGCATCAAATCTCTTATCGTTAGAGAAAACTCAACTTCAAATTTTGGAACGACGAAGGTGAGTAACTAAGAACTAGTAATGATGAGGAGATATCTCAAAAAGCAGTGAACACACACATGCATGATGAAGCAGAAACTTGATTCTTGGTATGTGATGGTTCTGGAGGAATAATAAAATTAGAATGAACAATCTCAGAAAACCCTGATAATTATCACCAATCTTCAATATGGATGTTGTTAGATTAAGTCTATTGGGTATTGGGTTAATGGGCTGTGACCCGTTAACCATACCCCTATTTGTATTGTATGACTATATATATACTCTCTAAGTATCTGAATAAATCATGAAGTTAGGGTTTTTGCTCTCTCAATATATCTCTTTCTAACTGGTATCAGAGGCTTGGATAAGCATAGCCGCTGACAACACCTCATTTCAACAAAAAAAAAACGCCTAGCCGCGCAGCAGGCTCTTTCTCCTTGCCGCCGCATTCTGCGCTACGGTACCGGTCGCGCCGCTAACATAGTAACGCGGCCGCCTAGCATAACGTGCGCCGCTACAGTAACCGCGCCGTCTACAGTAAAACGCTTACGCTACAGTGCTCGCTGTTGTTTTGTTTCCTTCTTTTCCATGGCCTATGATAGGCTTTTCGGCCACATCATGACCGATCCGGTCAATTTCTACTACGTCTATTTTTTTTGATCTGCTCTCTAGTCTATGTTATAAAGAACAGATCTCACTACTGCTGATTATTTGAGTATCTATGCTGCTACTACGATTGTGGCAGACATGTAGGAAACAAGATCTCTCCTCTTCGCATTCTCCTCTTGCTGTCTGCTGGTCAGATTTCTGTGCCGCAGGTGTCTTTGGGAATACAATAAAAATTGGAATGGTAAAAGAACTATATACTCTGGGCTCAGGTTTCCGGCATCTTCCATTGCGCTCAAGCAAACTTCAATCTTCTGGCTCTCCTCACCCACATACGATCCACTTAACAGATTCTGTGCTCTCGTCTGATTATTGTGTTATGACGTGGCTCTCAACAGCACGGAAGCCACAGATATTGTAGCTGTTTGTTCTAGACACTGCAAGAAGATAGTGGGACAGCATAAGATATATGTCCGGAAAATGAAAGAATGATTCCGTGTATTTGAATTTTAATGAGCGACTGTTTAAGCCAACCAGGGGTAGATGCAGTCCGGAGTTCTTTGGTGAGGTTAAGGGACTGATAGAACGAACTGGTCGATGCATCATCCTGTCAGTAGCTGATGAGAGCGACGGTTGCTGTGGATATCGCCGGACTCTGGCAAGTGTCCTAGTTTCTTTTGATTGCCAACTAACTTGCAGTCCCGGTGAATGACAAGATATTCGGTGAGATACCCATCCCCGGTCACTAGGACTGCTACATTCTCTAGAGTATCAGGGCTCTACTGTGTTCTTCTGATACTTGTGCAGCGTGCTCTCACATTCATGGATCAGTCTGGCCATTTCTCTATAGACGGCAAGCCGCGGTCCGTGGTGTGGTCCGTGATTGCTTTGGGAGGACGTGGCTCATTTTAGTCGGGACAGAGAATGATTTCTGATAGGGTTTCAACGATCAGTAGTGTCATGTTGTGGGAGGACCAATCATATTCTGGAAGTGGCGAGAAGTTTGGTCGTCCTTAATTGGGCCAAGTACCGATGCCGAGGTCGACTCGCTCACCTTTTCATACTTTACTTTTCTAGAACTGCCAGCTACTACTGTGTCCTACTGTTTCAGATTCTTGAGGCGATTTAATGAGAGGTTACGCCAGCTAGAGATCTTCAGGAACAGTTCATATCGCTACTCATTCATACGCCATCCTGCTTGCAGTAGGATCTTACATAGACTTATACTCCTGCATAACATGGTATGATTCTGGAGCCTCATCCATATGACAGGTTAAAGGATCGTTTTGTTTACATCTTTCTGATAAGCTTTCCTCTA